CCCCCCCCCCCGCCATCAAATTGAGATGACTTCATGTTTTCAGGAACATGGTTCCATTAAGAATATTAGTTTCCCTGAACACACATGATCCGTCAGCCCTTGTAATTGCTCCAAGCTCACAAAACATTGGTCTACGAACAAAATTTACTTTTACAAGAATTTAAAAAAAAGAGAGAAAATAAGAATGTAAAGGGTAAAATTTGTTGTTGAAAGGATCTGTAAGCACAATTTCATGTGACCAACCATGCAAAGATGGCAGTCCAATTCACAACGGTACCTTAAACGCTTTGTCTGATCAAGAGTAAATAAGAAATTAATTTTTATAACTGATAATTTTCAATCTAAGTTTTTCTATATGTGACTTATCTGCAGGACAACATAAGAACTATCAGAATTTAACACTTTTATATCTAGAAAATTGCGATAACAATTTTAAAGGATGAATGAGTTTTTTTTGAAAAAAATTGTCAGATTTGTTTTTAGAATTGCAATAATTTTGATCACGTAGATTTGTTTACCTTAACGACGACTGGTTATCTGTCTCCATATTATCTGAAAAAATAGAAGTGATGAAGAAATGTATTTAAAAAATTTATAAAATGTGCAGATATAATTATCACAAGTTGCAAATTGATATATTTGTACGCAAACAAAAAGTATATTATTAGTAAAATTAATAATTTATGATACATTTCATAATTAAATTAATCGAAATTCAACAGCAAATCAGATCTTTCATTTCATTAAAAATCACAATTCGATATCTGAAATAAAAGTTATCACAGAGAGAATCTAAATTATCAGATCTGGAAAACACAATAAAGATCTTATATGGTTTTATCTAACTATATTTTCAACTGGTTGTTTCGTGTTCTTAAAATGAACTAAGAAACAAAAATTCAGCAAATTATTTTTATCTTTGAATAAGGGAAGATAACAAAAGTGAGAAAAGTAGAAAACTCAATAAACTAATTATGGAAGCTTGAGGAAATAATTAATAAAAGCATCAGTCTGTAAATAACATATCAAACATTGCTACATATAATATAAATATTAGATAAATACTGGTAAAATACAATTTTCAAAAATAATTGGACGGATTCAATTATTTTAAATGTAAGCTCTTGCCAAATATTTCTTGGTATGCGTAAGATATAAAAAACTGGTGAAAAACTGGTGAAAAACACTGGAAATGCGGGAACATTGATTCTCAAACTCGTAGTAAAATCCACGAAGATTAAATTGATCCATAACCCTCGCCTGAAATCAAAAATATGTTAACAGACAAAATACAGAGAAAACGTAATAATACAAAATTGTACTGTACGCATGCGATGTGCATGTGAATTTAATTGGAAACCGAACAAATATTCTTCGATTTTTTAAAATTTAATGTATAACAAAATAATTGATTTTATAGGAGGATATGTGCATGTTATGTATACTGTATGTTTACCTACTCTACAGGATGGTCCAATGTAAACGGACATAAAATAAAACTGGAATATCCTGTAGATTATATTAGTTTACTAGAACCTATGGTTAGTGTGAAGATAGAACTAAAATTTTCCACCGGTTTCCGCTGCAGCTGGAGAACCAGGGGGAGGAGGGGCTGCAACAGATACAGACCTAATCATAAAACAATAAAAAAAATTTTATTTTATTTATCATGATGCAAACAAATCAAATCATACTTTTCAGGGATTGCTTCAGGCATCCTTCCCATGAGGAAAAGTTTCAATTCCTTCATATATATTCAGCTCTATCTTCATTAATTCTGGGATATTTCACAGAAAAATCAAATTTCAATTGTTTCGAGGATTTTTATAAGAATTAAAATTTGTTCACCTCCACTTTCTATACATGATGAAGAGATCGACCAAGAATGCCAGGAGAAGAGCTATCACGACTACCTACAGCACAGGGGTATTAGAAGTACTGTGGGGAAAATATGTTGCTAGCGGGGTCTACGCCAACTACTCTCCAAGTATACAAGGATAATAAACCCCTTTCGCTAAAGTCTTTGGATTTATAAAACCAAAAAGTGATTCCAACCTTAATCTTCAGTTTAAATAGTAACCAACACTTAATAATGTATGATCAAGTTTCTACAATGTGCATTGTTCTATACCCTGTAAGATAAAAACAATTCTGTAGCAAAACTATAACATTAAATAAATAAGCAAAACAATAACATTAAATAAATAAGCAAAACAATAACATTGGGTAAATAATCAAAACAATAACACTTGAGTAAATAAGCAAAACAATAACATTGGGTAAATAATCAAAACATTAACACTTGAGTAAATAATCAAAACATTAACATTGAGTAAATAATCAAAACATTAACATTGAGTAAATAAGCAAAACAATAACATTGGGTAAATAAGCAAAACAATAACACTGAGTAGATAAGCAAAACTATAACATTAAATAAATAAGCAAAACATTAACATTAAATAAATAAGCAAAACATTAACATTGAGTAAATAAGCAAAACAATAACACTGAGTAGATAAGCAAAACAATAACATTAAATAAATAAGCAAAACAATAACATTGGGTAAATATTCAAAACAATAACACTTGAGTAAATAATCAAAACAATAACACTTGAGTAAATAAGCAAAACAATAACACTGAGTAGATAAGCAAAACTATAACATTAAATAAATAAGCAAAACAATAACATTGGGTAAATAATCAAAACAATAACATTAAATAAATAAGCAAAACAATAACATTGAGTAAATAACCAAAACAATAACATTGGGTAAATAATCAAAACAATAACATTGGGTAAATAATCAAAACAATAACATTAAATAAATAAGCAAAACAATAACATTGGGTAAATAAGCAAAACAATAACATTTATTAAAATCTATTAAATGACTTACTGATCGTAAAAAACTTACCAAGATAAGCTTGAACCCAATGATGCAAAGGATAAGATCCAAAACAAGCAGAGCAGACCATAACCCCAGATAGATAAGATGCTGAAATTCAAAATTCAAAATCGGACATTCATTCTTTGAGCATCAAACAACAGCCTCAATTTTTGATCATCGGAAGACGGAGTTTTCTTTCTAATTTGGCATATCCCGATGTTTTTATTCTGTTTAGTGAACTTTTATGGTGGAAAACGCATTTGAAATATCAAGTCTTAAGTAAATTTTGATATCTTGATAATTTGAAATGAAAAAGACACTTAATACATATGTTTTTTTTCTGATAATAATGCATCGTAGAATTGAAAAACATTGATTTTAGATGTTTCCTAAAAATTATTTACTCTATCTAAGACAAATAAGGAATATTTTCTGAAAAATGGATTAAAATTATCTTAAATTTAACTACTTACTAGTTTCATGAAGAATGGGAACTTTGCTTCTATCATAGGAGTCAGGTTGGTTATATGAGTAAACAGTAAAGTTCCAGATATAATAACAGTTGTCCAGAACAGGAAGGATTCAAACCCTTAACAACAGATTTCAAATAGTTCAAACAAGTGAGCCTCCATATGAAAAGGACTGAGCCGGATTGACAAGGGTATCCTTTAAACCCTTATCTGATCAATAATGTGGAAGATAAAGGGTTTGCAAAAGTCTAACGATCTTCTCCGTTATATCTGCAAAACACACAATTAATTTTTATAGACAGACAGAGCTGTTACAGGTAGAGTTATGAATAGAATACTTTCTTCTCTTAGAACAATTTTAAAAAAAATTTCAGTATTTATAATTATTCAACACAAAAGGTTTAAAACAGTGAAAAAGAATGCGTATTGCGTGTTCTTCACTAACAGAAGAAATAATCGTTAAACTACATCAGTAAGTTCTTTCGAACTTAAAAATATACATTCGACTGAAAGTAAAAACAGAGGTTTATATTTCTAAGAGTTAGCAGAAGGAGGAATAACTTTAGAATTACAACTTTTGATATATTTTGAAACAAACAAAATTTAATTTATTCTAAAAATTTAGTATTTTACCTATATCAGCCAAAATTCATTATTTCATTATATTCATTCATATATAAACTGTAGAAAAATAATATTCTTCAAGAAAATAAAAACTCCATTAAGAAAAAATTAAGAAAAATATACCGCTGGCTAATATTATCCCTGTTATTCCTCCGATGACGCCAACAACCTAATTAAATAAAATAAATTCAAAAACTCTTTTTATAAAAGTTAAGTTTTAACCAATTTTCAAGAGATAATTTCGCTTACCACTTCAGAAGCTTTTGCTATTCCAGGCATAGTTTTTATAAATCCTAAGTCCCATGTTAAACCCATCTTTTCTGAAATATTTGAATTTTTGTCAATTCTAAACCATATCCTAGAAACGACATTACAGATCCAAAACCATATCCTAGAAACGACATTACAGATCCAAAACCATATCATAGAAACGACTTTACAGATCCAAAACCATATCATTTTCTTCAATATGTTCTTTCTGGTGTAAAGGTATTCTCTCCTGTCCAAGGAAAACTCCCGATGTTCTTCTGATCTAGAAACGACTTTACAGCCAAATTCTGAACCTTATCCTGGAAACGACTTTACGGATTCTAAACCATATCATGGAAACGACTTTACAAATCGTTTTTTTTGTAAAGTTTGCACATTCATTCCAGCAAGTTTATTCAACACTAGTTCCTTCGATTTCTTTAAATTCTCTTTAATCGTTTTCATGTTATCTTCTTCAATATGTTCTTTCTGGTGTAAAGGTATTCTCTCCTGTCCAGGTAAAACTGTTCTGATCAGTGATCAAGATATACTTCTTAGTTTGAGAATGAATTCCAGAAGATGCATCTGAACCCTGATCTCCACAGGTTTACTGCTCACAAAAAATCCTTAAAGAAATATATTTACTTTAAGTAAAATTTGTAGACTAACTGTGAATATAACTTCACATTTACAACTTAACAAAATAAAAATTAAAAACAAATAATTAAACAAAAAAAGAAGGGGGGGGGAAGAAGTAACTGGAACTTTTTTCTTCAAAAAAGAGTTTGTCAAAGTTTTTTTCTGAAATAACAAAAGGTCGATTAGTAGACATAAAGAATGTGAAGATTAGCTCTGAACGCTGGGTTGCAAAACATCCTGATTTAGCTCCTAACCCATATGTTAAGTAAATACCTGGTACTCCAGCTTTCTCCAGGGTTCCCTGCTGATCAGAAACCTGACCAAACCAAACATATCTATTATCAATATTATTTCAAAAAATAGAAATGGCAACTGGCAGAGATGTAAGTTATACATTGTATTATCTTGGCTTTTTAGAAATTTTTGGCGCAAAAAATTAGTTATCTTCTACTATAACCAAATCCTTCGAAATAGTTTATTTTCGTTATGTTGGTTATATTTCCCATTTAGTTTGGGGGAAAAAAATAAAAATAGCATTTAGTAATTTGTTTAAAATTCCCAAGTTTTAGTTCAGCTAAAAACAACCTCAAACATAATCTACTACTCTTCCCAAACCTCCTAAATATTATTTTTAAGAAGGGAGAACTGTTTACTGCTACAGATTTTTATGGTTCTTGACTGATAAATAGGACTATGATGATGTAAACTCACATGAAAAATATTTCCTACTACATTTAATAAATACTTTTGATGGATTCGGATTTTACACGGCAATATTTACCCCTGATAAAACCACCTGTGTTTAGTTTCCAGTTGTTTTATCTGTGTTGGAGACGGGTTTCGGGAGTTCAGGAGCTGAATCTCGGAAACCTGCTTCTGCAAGAACTGTCGCCTTAAACATTCAGGGTTTAAAAACAATGCTTTCTTTTGATATTAATAATAATAGATAAATAGATCTTTTAATCCGTAACAAACCATAACCGTTTAGTACGTTCGTGAATTTATCAATTCTAATTTAAATATGTCTGCAAACAGTGGCGCAACTTGCACTTTTGTGAGGGAGGGCGAAAGAAAATTTTGAGGGGCTTGGGTTGGGGGTACAGGGGTCTAGCCCCCCGTCGGAAAAAAAATTTCAAAAAAACCGCTGCAATTTCATGATCTGGAGAAAAAAAACCATTTTTTAATTGTGGAAGGGTATGATCTATGCTCAATAATATGACAAATACTTCCAACAGCTTTAAAATGAACGACATTAGTAAATTAATCATGTGTGGGAAGCGCCAACAATGTAATTCTTCTAGCGTCTTTTCATATGTTTCTTAGTGTCGGTTAGTCATATTCACTATGTATATAAAGTCCCCTATTACAGTCTACAGCAATTTTTTTTTCAATTCATCCACAAATCAGTTGTCCACTATAAAGTACCTTAATCATAGGTTAGTAGTTCCTGGCAGACCTTGACTATATATTTCGTCTGTCCTTAAGCCATAATAGTCATTCTGATCAAGTACCTCTGTCCTTGTTTGCCAGTAAGGAGCTTGCCCTGTTTTCCTCTCATAGTCTGCAAAAGTCCTAATACTTGTCTGATATAATCCTTATTACATTTCTTTTTATTCTTCTTAGGTTTTTAGGTTTTGTGTAACCTTAAAGTTAAATGGTATATGTATTGTAATACTCATAAGAAGTAACATATATAGATGTTTTTTAGAGAGGATAAATTAAGAATGACTGATTTTCTTTCAGTCGAAAACGAGAAAATAGTTAGAAATTCTATAGGAAATGATGCACGAAGCGCCAAAGAACAATTTTGTTATTTTTTCTTCATTGACAAAATTTGAAAAAAAGATGGTCCACAATCATGATCATGCTGGAGTCAAGTGAGGGGGGCGAGAGGGAGTCTAAATTTGCTGAGGGGAGGGCAAAACTCGGTTC